TTTTAGTTTTTTAACAAGGAAAGGAAAATTTTATACAGCAATAGATTAAACACTTTAAGGACAGTTTTTGGAACGTACTGCATAGTTTGGGGACAAGTGACCTAATGTTAAATAATTTCGGTTCCTTTTCTTTGCAAGAATTGAAAAGCTTCTAAAAGCAGATTACTGCTTTTTAACTTCTTTGTATAATTAATTTACTAGACATAAAGAGCATTAGATTATTAAAAAATATGTAACCAGTTGGTAAATGATATATTTATTTAGAATATTAGTGTGTATATAGCCGAAGATTGTACTCAATGAGGACATACTTAGGTATGAATGTAATAGTTTAAAGACTTTAAAGTCATTAGTTCTATTATAAAGTTAGTGTTTTTATTATTGTAGTTGATATGATTGCGTATAGGCAAGGATTGTATTTGACGGAGACAATATTGCTTATAAAAAATATAGATTGTAGAGTTTTACTTTACATTTTCAATTACGTTTACTTACTTTAGAAGTTTAATGAGGTTTTTATTACAGTAATATTTAGCAAAAATTTAAAAATATATTCTATACTTAAACATAAATATATAACAATATTAAAATAATTTTTAGTTTTTTAACAAGGACAGGAAAATGTACTACGTTTGAAAAATCAAATTTTATACAGCAATAGATTAAACACTTTAAGGACAGTTTTTGGAACGTACTGCATAGTTTGGGGACAAGTGACCTTATGTTAAATACTTTTAGTTCATTTTCTTTGCATAATTTCTTTGTATAATTAATTTACTAGACATAAATAGCATTAGATTATTAAAAAATATGTAACCAGTTGGGAAATGATATATTTATTTAGAATATTAGTGTGTATATAGCCGAAGATTGTACTCCATGAGGACAAACTTAGGTATAAAAGTTAAAGTTTAAAGACTTTAAAGTCATTAGTTCTATTATAAAGTTAGTGTTTTCATTATTGTAGTTGATATGATTGCGTATAGGCAAGGATTGTATTTGACGGAGACAATATTGCTTATAAAAAATATAGATTGTAGAGTTTCACGTTACATTTCCAATTACTATTACTTACTTTAGAAGTTTAATGAGGTTTTTATTACAGTAATATAATTTAAAGACTTTAAAGTCATTAGTTCTATTATAAGTTATTATTTTCATTATTGTTGTTGATCTGATTGCGTATACTCAAAGATTGTATTTGTTAGATACAATACTGCGTATTAAAAATATGGATGGTAGAGTTTAACGTTACATTTTTTATTATTATTACTCACATAAGAAGTTTAATGAGGTTTTTATTACAGTAGTATTTAGGAAAAATTTAAAAATGTATTCTAGAATTAAACATAAATAAATAACAATATATATTAGTGTGTATATTGCCGAAGATTGTACTCAATGAGGACATAGTTATGTATGAAAGGTATAGTTTAAAGACATTAATGTCATTTTTGCTATTAATTGGTGATTTTTTTATAGGTTTACTGGAGATATATTTATAACAATAGTAATGTGATAAAATTTAAAAATTCGATTGTATTAATTGCTCATTTATTATTAACATTTTCAAAGAATTAACAGGTTTGTAGCTAGAAAAAAATAATTACTACGTTTCGGGATTTAAAGTATATAGAGCAAATAATTGCGCATTGTAGATCATGTTATTCAGTGTAGAATTTTTTTATTGACCTTCAATGTGAAAATTCCTCACTGGATAACATAACTTTAAAGGTCAATTTTGGAACCCAATTCTATAGATTGGGGACTTAGGTTCTAATGTCAAAAATTTTCTATCTAAATCTTTCGTCGTAAATTAAATTCGTAAATTAAATTTTTTTCTTCAAAAATGGGATTTAAATTTTGTATGGGAGAGGAGAATAGGAGAAGACAAAAAGGTACAAGGCTGGTTTTTTGGAATATAGAGTGGTACAAAAATGAAAATGAGAGTTAATGGAGGACATTGAGAAAATGGAAGGTTATATTTTTGTTGGTGACGTGGGTGGAGTTTAGAGATTGGGAGAAAGTAAAAGTAAAGTTGCCAAAAGTATATTGGTGGAAAATACAGGGAGCAAGAAAAGAAGCGATGAAAGGCAGATGCGCGGGATTAATTATCACTCGGGTGAGATTGAGGATAAGGGAAGGGAAAAAAATGAAAGGAGTGGAAAAAAGAGGGAAGCATGGTGAGAACCATTAGGATGGAAAGGGAAGAACTGGATATTGTAGGAATTTACAGGAAAATAGAAGAAGAAGAATGTTGGGATACACTAGAGGAGTGGATGGACCGGGGGAAGAAAAAATTGGTTTTCAAAGGGAGTGGTTTAAATGCATGGACGGGGACGCTAGGGGGAGGCTAATGGAATGAATAAACAAATAAGTATGAATGGGAGTCATAAAACATAAAGAAGTGTACGGGGAAGGAAGGAAATAGTTAGGGATAATGGAGAGTGAATGTTGGGAAACATGCAATTTTAATATTAGGGGGGGGTGAGGAAGGAGAGTATACTTTCATGGGGAGGGGGGATACTTGCATTGACTATGTGCTGATGGATTAAAGGATGAGAAAGAGGTTGAGCGCGATGAAGCTTGGAATAGAACTAGGTTCAGAACATTTCCCGTTTATTGTCCACCTTAAAGGAAAAGTGGAAAGGAGAGAGGACGTGAGGAGAGAAAAGAAGGATAGAGTAGAAAAAATGGGCAAGTGGACGGTGGAAAATATGATTGAATTTAAAAAAGGATACAGGAAGAGTAAATAGAAAATCTTAAGGGGGCAGGGGTTAATTTAAGAGTGGAAAGTATGGTGCGAGCCGTACACAAGGAAGGAGGCAATGAAGAGAAACATCAAATTATGGAGAAAAGGGCATATTGACAGAAAGGAGTACTAGAGAGTGCAAGATGTGCACGAGAAGTTGAAAGCACGGAAAAAACAAAAGGAAAGGAGGAAATTTTTATGAGAGGTGGAAAACGTAGTGAGGGAAGGGAGGGAATGGGAAGTAATAAATAGAGAAAGGAAAAGAAAAGGAGTGGTTGTAGAGAGCATAAGTATGGGTTGATGGACTAAGTATTTTATGGAGCTCACTGGGGGGGTTGATAGGAGAGTGGTTGGAGGAAAAAGAATGGCGGTGGGTGATGGAGAGTGTAAGGAAATAAGCAGGGAGGCAGTAGACAATGCAATCGACAGGATGAAAAGAAACAAAGCTGCTGGTTTCGATAGGATGGAAGCGGAGAGTTTAAAGTATGGGGGTGTTAGTAATAAGGAAAGAGATGTAGGAAGTGATAAATAGGGTGAGGAGGGGACAAGGGTGGCTAAAGGGATGGAAAACGGGAGTGATTGTACCGTTGGTTAAGAAAGGGGAAGGGAAAACGGTAAAGGAATATAGAGGAATCACTCTAATGCCAGCTGGGTACAATCTCGACACAGAGACCTTGATGCGGAGGATGGAAGAAAGTGTAGACAAGGCTGGAGGGATACCATAAAGTCAGGCAGGGTTCCGTAAAGGGATGAGTACTATGGACCACATATATTCTTTGATTTTTTTGGTATGAATAGGTTTTTTTATAATCTTTTAATTTAGAAGTAAATATTAAATAAAAATTTTTTCCCTAAAAAACCAAAATTTTAAATTTTACTATTTGGAGGGGAAGGATACGAGATTTTTTTCTACAATTACATAAAGATTTGATAGTGGGCGTTGAACGTTTAGACACTGAAAAATTAGTTTTCTGCTTACGAATTTCGTATGAAAATTCGGCTGCAAATTGTAAAACAAATTGTCAAAAGAAATTTTGTGTGAATTTCCATACGAGTTTCCGTGCGAGAATTTAAAAAAACATTATATTAAGAAATCGGGTATAACGCATAATACGTTTTGAAACGCCAAACGAGTTTTACTAGTAATTTCATTTGAATTTGTTAGGATTATTGTACCAAGTTTGTAGCATTTCTGAACGAAATGCGTGAAAAATTTGTACGAATCATTTTTACTAAGGTTGACAATTTCATTTCTAATACTATTAGTACTTCTGCAATAATGTGTAATAATAATTTAGTAAAGCATGCTTGTATAAGTAATGAGTTTGGTATGAATAAATCGATTACGATAGTAATGCGTCAAGAATATAAAGATCTTTGTAATAAATTTACTATTAATTATAATAGTAATTAAAAAATTAGTTACTTCGTAACTAGAAAAGGAAAATTTATTTCGTTTAGAATTTCAGATTTAACACAGCAAAAGGTAGTATTCTTTTAGGATAGTATTAGATACGAATCATATTGTTTGAAGACTTTTGTTCTAGTTTTAAAGTGACTACGTACAATTTCAAAACGCGGAGTTAAACGTTTATAAAATCAGATTACCTACTTCTCATTTGGTTGGTACATATTTCAACTTGAGAAAGAAGCAAGATATATTAATAAGTTGTAGTATAACTAGTCAGGAATAAACTATTTATATCAGTGAAGGATTTTATATATGGTGAAAGATTCTACACAATGAAGACAAGATCAGGTAAGAAACGTATAGTTTGAAGAGTTGTAAGATATATTGACAGCAATATGTCTTGCTATGTGGATGTTATTTAAAATACAAACACTTAAATTAGGATTTTAACTTATATTTGCTAACATGAAATCAATCCAGCAACTAATATCAACATTCAGCCTAAATAAAAAGAGAAGATTAGATTTAATTAGAAACCATTTTTATTAAATCAAAATAAGTTTGTTTTTTTATAAAGTAGAAAAATATAACACTTTATATCCTACTGTCCATCTACTACAAACTTGTAACAAACATACATACATAATAATTTATAAACGAAATAAAGTTTTTCGCAACATTTTTAAACACTTATTTTTTTTTAATAATAAAATAAATTTTTGTTTTAAAAAATAAAATCTGTAAATATTGCGACTTACTTTTAAAAGAACTTTAAATCAACTTTTTTGATATTTGAAGAATAATAAAACTTGAAATAATGAAAAATTAGAGCTGTGAAAAATTATTTGAATCGAATGGTTCGAAGTTTTTCGTCTAAAATATGTGTTGATAATTCAACATTCGAGTTAGTCCAATTTGAATGTCTAGTATTCGAAATTTGAACCGAACCAAGGTTTGTTCGGTTTTGGAGCCCTAAAATGTCGAACATCGAAAAACCGGCATTCGAGTTAGCTTAGTTTTTGACATTTGACATTTCAGCGCCTCAAAACCAAACAAAAGTCGATTCGAATTAAAATTTGCACAGCTATATGGAAAATAATGAATCAAAGTGAAGTGCTTTCTAATCATAAAAATTAAACTGATTTTCTCTTTCAGAAATGTTTTTCCTTTAATTATTCATTTACGATTTCAACATCGTAAATTGTGCAAGGTTCTGTTTTTTTATAAAGTAGAAAAATATAACAATTTATGTCTATCTACTACAATATTATGACAGACATACCTAAATATAAATTTATAAACGAAATAGAGTTTTCTGTAATTCTATAACAAAGGTATTTTTCTTAAATGAATTAAAAATATTCTTGTTTATTAAATAAACATTGAAGCCTGATAATATCACAGCTTATTTAAAAATATCTTTGAATGAGTTTTTTTGGTATTTGGAAACAAATAAAACTAAAAATGATGGGAAATATTAAAACAAAGTAAAATTCTTCTTAGTTATAAAAATTAAATTGATTTCCTCTTTCGGGAATCTTTCTTCCTCTGATTGTCAATCCAAGTTTTTAATTGTTGAGGAGCACGGTTTTTCAATACCTCGTTATTACTTATTAAATCTTGACAAGTATGAAGCGAAGGAAGTTTTGGCAAACTCTTTAGGGGCCCAAAAAAATTTGTTACTACATCCTGTTCTTCCGTACTCCACTTTGTTCTTTTAATTTTAGAAATCGATGATCCTGTAATCAAGAAACAAAAAATTATAAAACTGCACATGATATTTGCAATTGAATAATTTTACCACATTTACGTTAACTTTAACAAGTGGTAAGGTATGATTTAAGAAACTTTAAAATTGAAAAGATTACTTATGGAATATATATTTCTTAATAGATTTTTGAACAAAAATAATTTGCAATAGTATTATAAATTTTTTTTATAATTGAAGGGCTACATAAAATAAGGGGACGAACGCATGGTTGAAAGGGATAATATCAGTCAGGTAGCAGCGAGCGGCTCAAGGCTCGTCACTGCTACCTGACTGGTACTATCCCTTCCAAGCCTCGCGTTCGTCCCCTTATTCTATGTAGCCCTTCAATTCTCAGGAACAATAGAGAATCTACGTAATGTACTGCTCCGTGTGGCAGGGTGCACGTAGATTTCATCGAATAAAAAAGCTTTTGCCTTTATTTATAGCAGTTAGACCTTTAAAAGTATGTATATAGTAACTATGCTTTGAGATTACAAGAAAAACTAAGAGATAGATAATATAGGCTATAGTGTTTATTTTCTTTTTTATTATATTCTAACAGTTTTGGGATATTTATATTTTTTTGGGAAGTTCCTAACAATATTCAGTGACTGTTTGCAATTAGCATATTTATAGAAATAAGTAAATATATTAATAGATACAGTGTAATTACAACATAATATCCAACAAGTATTAAATATTAAAATAGATTTTCTTAGTAACTTTGAATTTCCCGATACTTTTATTAGTAAGGTAATATTTTAAGAAACTTTTAAATTGAATGAGATTACATTTGGAAAGTATAATTTCTACTGGCTTTTCAAACAAAAATAATTTGCAATTATATTTAAGAAATTTTTATTAATTTTTAAGAACAATAATGAATTTACGTAATGTACTGCTCCGCGTGGCAGGGTGCACGTAGATTTATTTTAATAAAAGCTTTTGTTCCTACTACTTCTTGTGTTTTAAATGCATATATTGGTGGATGTTCCTGCACATTCTCAACATTTAAATACTATTAAGAAATTGATATTAATTTATAAATTTAATAAATATACTTACTATAACAATTTTTGCTTTCCTCCTCGTCGCTGGTTTCAAGTTCAAAATCTGAATCGCTCCTTTCTTCGGCTATAACAGATTTTCCAACACGTAGTTCTGAAACTGAGCTATTAGCGCTGTTTTCATTTTCAATTGCAGCCTGTAAAAATTTCGATACCTCGGTTACGTCTTTGACGGCATTAGGTAGTCTGTATACATCTTTATGTATCTTTTCATCATGCCCCATGAAATTCGCCAAATCTTGCATCTCATTTTCATTGATTCCTAAAACTGCACTATAAGTTGCTAAGTGCTTTCGAAGAAATGTGCCGCGAAGTGTTTCCGGCATTGTCGCTCCACAATCTTCAGAGAATTTACGCATTAAAGCGCAAGCTCTTAAATATGGCTTCGAATGTTTCCTTCTCTGATAAATACCAAAAACGTATGGATTTGTTTTTTTTACGCGAGCATGTTTTCGATTATCGATAATGCAATTAACGAATTGCACTAGTTCTTCATCTAGTAATGCGGGGACGGCACGTCCCTTTTTGCCATCAATATTTATGCGAACAAATAACTTAGATCTCTTTTGTTTTTCGGAATCCATGTGAGAATAAAGATCAGGGTGTACATTTTCGTCTACAGATTCTCTATTCATAAAATCATCGATTGAAATTCTTTCAACTTCTCCTGCCCTTTTTCTGTTGAATAACTGTAAAAGAATTAATGTGCATTCTGATAGCAGTTTCCAAGCTTCTAAATCAAAAGATTGCTTTAAAATATTAAAAGATTTCGTACAATTTTCTTTTAGATGCTTATACAAAGCATTAATATCCTGTTTTAAAGGTAAATTAATTTTTTTGGCACGTTTTGCTTTTATCTGATTTTCTACTACTTTTTTGTTTACGGCAGTAGGGAAATCTTCCTCAAAAAGTTCTAAGAATTCGGCAGCGCTTTTCTTTCTTTCTTGATATCCTTTTTTTATGCACTCAGCGATCCAGACTTTCATACACTTTTTGATTAAGGTTCCCAATTGTGATGCAACTGATGGCGACGCAAATAAACCGGTTTGTTCATTATAACCCGCACAACTTCTCACAGCATGTTTAAATGTATCATAGTTTTTTGAGTGCAGTATAAGGAAAAGTTCAGTGAGTTCTTTATTTACTTTCAATGCAGCTTCTTTAAGACGTCCAAGAAGACGTAAGTTTGCCCTAATTGAATCATACTGTTGAATTTTAGTATACTGCTCGCAAAATCTATTTCCCATTAGTATTATTAGCAAATCGTAACGAATTATACGTACAATATTATCATCATTCATCACTGGAAAGATTTCATTTCGTAAAATGGGAGACGCCCGTTCATGGATGAAGCCCTCTACGCGTCGACCTGAGACTTTTATTTCTTTCTCACCTTTCTTGTGAAGAGGATCACACTGTTTATAGTGAATGTGAATAGTCTTTTTCGAAAACGCCCCTAAACACATAGAGCAATGAATATAATCCTCGCCATTATTATTATATTTTTCTTGACGTCTTCGACACGTAAGTAAAACTCCGGTATTATAGTCCTTATTTGTGTTATGTTCATGATTTCCCTCCTTTCTAATTTTGTCAATTACTTTTCTTCTTTCGGCCGAGTTTTTAGGTAAATTAATCATTACTTTAACGTCTTCTTCTGTGTAATGTTTAAGTTCCAAATGTCTTGGCAATTTTGTGGTTAATTCCTTACAATAACGACAGAAATTTTTCTTCAAAGAAGAAGAACCATTAACTTTTGACGGAGGTACAGTTACTACGCGAATATCAACAGGAGGACCTACAATAATATTATCAAGACATTTTTCCGACGTATCTGACGCATTTTTAGATATATTGACGGATACTGTAGCAGAGGAATCAGGCACAAAATCTGGATCGTCAGTTAGATCTGTATCATTTGCATCAGTTACTTCATAACTAATAGAAGCAGAAATATCATTATTTGTACTATTACCTTGAAGAGGAGTATCATTACAAGAAGTGTGCATTTGAATCTGAATATTTTCAGGCAATTGAATAACAGGAAGCTCAAGCTCATGGACAATACATTCTAGATTATTTTCAGTATTATTATTCGGATTGTTTTGCTGGCAATCATTAAATTCTTTAAAATCGAATTCATAAACCTGATTGACGATATTTCCTGTATTAGTGTTTTTTACTAGACATTTAATATTGGTTAAATCAAGATCATTTTGATGATTAATCTGTAAAGAAGGTTCGAATGATGTAGAATGATCTTCAGCGTTCTGATTGTTAATCGATAAATTTTCATTTTCAAAAAGCGTATTTGACAACTGCAATGTTGACATGTCTGATACGTGCAATTCACAATTTTCAAAAGTATCCTTAATAGGTGTCGAATGAAGTTTTACAGTATTTTTAGATATTAATGAGCTCCTCTCATTGTTTATGCACTTTACGAGTATTTCCATTTCTTTTTTTAACTGTCCTGCAAGTATTACCGAAGAGGACATTTTAGGACGTTTGGATTTATTTGGATTGAGGTTATCATCTGTCAATATAGCGCGTTTAGAATATGTTGGTAATTTTTCTAATAAGACGTATGGTTCTAAAGAAGTAGAAAACTTTTTCGGTATAATCTCATCTTGGTAAGCCTTAGAATTCTTGTGTTTTCTTTTTCTCGAAAAAGATTTAGAAAGCACATCAGTTGGGTAATTTGGTAATTTTTCAAGCATAATTACTGGATTACAATAAGGAAGTTTCGTTTTAATCGATATTTCCGAATGTGTTAGTTCTTTAGATTTCATCTGTGGAATCGGTTTCTCGGCTTCCAGTGGTGACTTGCTCTGAATCGGTTTTACGGAATTAACATTTGTCTGGGATTCAATCGATGTCTCAGACTGAAGCGGTTTCTTAGAATTAACAGGTGTCTCGGATTTAATAGGTATTTCAGACTGATTCGGTTTCTCAAAATTATCAGCTGACTCGGAATGTTTCTCAGATTTATATAGTGCTTCGAATTGAATAGACGTCTCGGACTTACTCGGAATCTCGGATCGAACAGATGTTTGGGATTCGATCGGTGTCTTTATTAGTTGACCCTTTTGTTTCTTTGAGATAGCTGAAAACAAAAAAATTAATTACAAAAGTGACTAAGTTTAACTATGTAAGAAATATTTATTACTTGTTTTTCAAAGAAAAATAATTTGTAAATCTTTAATGGAAGACTTGTTACAATTTTAAGGAATAATAGTTAATCTACGTAATGTACTGCTCCGTGTGGCAGGGTGCACGTAGATTTCATCGGAAAAAGCTTTTGCCCATATACGCTTTAGAATTTTAAGAAAAACTAAAAGATAGATATTATAGGTTATATTATCCGACATTAAAAAAATATTGAATAGAATTCTCTTAGAAACTTTGAATTTTCTGATACTATTATTAGTAAAGTAATATTTTAAGAAAATTTTAAATTGAATAAGAACCCTTCTGGACGATATATTTCTTAAATTACTGGTACTTGTACTCGCAGAAGTTGTTAAGCAACTCCTGCAGGTAGGAAGGCAGCCAGCTGAGATGTGAGAATACCCTTACTGGCTTTTCAAGTAAAAATAATTTGTAAATATATTTAACAGATTTTTTAAAATAATTTTCAGGAACTACCTAATGCACTGCTCCGCGTGGCAGGGGGCACGTAGATTTAATCTAATATAAGTTTTGCACATAGTTGCATTGTAAACCGTTTCACCGACAAAAACAATCACAAGAAGAATGTTCCTGTCTGAAAGGTTAAACTCTTAGTAATCCAAAATACTCTCTTTTTTCGACTTTTATCAAAATTATATGAAAATAAAGTTTAACTTTTTTCACTTTTTATTCCCGTATATCCTAAATACAAAACGGGTTTCTTTAAAATATTCTTGTATTTTCTAAACCGCTAAAAACCAAAAGATGTCTCTAGAAAACCAAGAGATAATCTAAATACTCCTGTCTTATAAAGAATTCTTTTAACTGAACAAATTAACTAAACTACAAGTAAAATAATTTAAAATATAAAAATTGTCACTAAGATTTTACCTTTTTTTAACCAAGGATTGGTATTCAAAACAGATCTGCGCATTTCTCCATAATTCCACAATAGTTCACAATCAGGAGCAATATCCTGAGTCGCCTTAAAAAACACACGGGGTATTTCATTTATAACTTTAAGAAAAGGTTTAATGTTTTCTTCATTTGAGTGGTTTATAAGACGTCCTTTATAGTTGCTTTCAGCAGTAGCGTCAATAAACATTTTTTTATCACGATATTGAAAGTCTAAAACGTAACATCCTAAACCTTTTTCTTCGTAAACAATCTGGCGCTCTTTCATCTGACTAGCGCTTGTGACCAGCTCGCCAATATACTCCAGAATAGTTTCTCCTTTTTTTATAAAATGTTTAGTAAAAACACCCCGGTTTTTTGATTCTGTATCGCGTACATCGAAGTCACTTTCATCAATCGAGGGCAGGTCAAGTATATCCATTTTGAACAATCACGACCAACTAAAAAGAAATTTAAAATAACTGATTAAAAATATTTTGACAAAAGAGTTTAAATGTGAATATAGTTAATGAAGAGGACAACTTTCTAAAATCAGCAATATACGAATTTTATCTAGATGGTGAGGTTTTTAATTTAAACTTGTTAACAAGACTGGACAGTGGTACTCCTATTAGCTTTTTAAGAAAAATTGTAAGCACTAACTTGATTGAATCATTTGACACGAATTCTTTACAATATACGGGCGCTAATGAATCGAAACGTAGAATATTCGGACGAGTAAATTCAAGGGTCAAACTAAGACATCTGATTAGATTTATTAATTTATTAGTAGTTGACGATAAAACTATGTGTTCGCCGGTAGTTTTGGGTCGCGAAGGTTTTGCTGAATTTGGTTTTAAGTTAATAGAATCACATAACAGTTTTCTGGAATCAGCATAAGAAATTTTGAATATTGACATAGAAGATGTTAAAGTTGATAAAATTAAAAAACCGCTGCCAAGTAATTTTGGTGTTCATTTCATGAACACTTTGCTTCCTCATAGAAATAATAAAATTTGAAATATAAGAATTACTTTTAATAAAAGGGTTAAAAATCATTAAATCTTGGTCCAAAAAATGTGTTTTTATATATTCTATAAGATGGTAATAATAGTTTAATAATTACACATAAATTAATAAACAAGAATGTTGAAAAAATGATATTTTTCACAATTGTTGATTTTTCAAATACCAATAATTTCATAATTTCTGCCCGAATCAGGTTAAAAAATAGGTCAATCGAAGCGTGTTTTAATGCTCTTCAAGTTGGTAAAAATTTTTTGAAGTTACTTTTACATAATTAAAAAAAATTTTTATAAAAGTCAATATTTTTCCAAATTTTAGATTTTTAAAAGTTTAATATCTCCGGTTAATATGGACGAAAAATGTTCAATTAGAGCTCAAAAGATGCGTCTAAAAAAACTCTACAAAACTAAATACAAAACAAAGCTAAACTTCTACATTTTTCAACAAAATTTTCAAAAAAGTCTTATTTTCTAAAATTTTTTATTTTTTAAAGTTTAATATTTCCGGTTAATATGAACGAAAAATATTCAATTAGGGCTCAAAAGATGCGTCTAAAAAAACTCTACAAAACTAAAGAAAAACATTTATAAGTGTCCTAACATTTTTTTAAGTTATGTCCAAAAAACGTTTTTTTACAAAATGAAAAATGCAAAAAAAAATAGTTGAACTTCATGAATTGAACTGAAAATACTCTCATTTTATGTCCCCCGGGGAGACCTACAATATAAAAAAAAATTGAGGCCTTTAGCTCTTTCTCGTTCGGAGATATCGAGGCAAATGTAATGTTAGTACACACACACACACACACACATCCGGACAAATTTTTAAAATCCGTTTTTTGGACTTCGGAGGACAAAATACGTCGAATTTTTTTTTTATTTATTTAGAACATTTATACGCGGAGTTCCTGTGCATATATATAGTACTAAAGTATTAGGCATAATAAAAAAAAATTTATAAATATGTCAAAAAATGCCAGTCCAAAATTTTGCTAATACAAAGCTTCCTTTATGAGGAAGCAATTCAAAAATTAATGATAAAATTTCGGCCGGAGATAGTCATAAAGTTGAAGATCTATTTCTCGCGGAATATATTATTCCAGGGAGACCAGATAAGTGAGATATTGTATTTCATACACAGAGTACACCTATATATACTACAGCGCGTTCAACCAGTTAGTCGCGTAGAGCAGCCACCGAGCACACACCACTGGGCCGCACCGAAGTCATAAGTCCCCACCGCGCAACTTACCTGGCTAGCTACGATACTTCTATATACCTGGCCTGCAAGAGTAATTTCGTCAGTTCGTCGTCAACCGAACTTGAATTTCGCTCCGAGCCCGAGAGAAGACAACTCTCTCCTTTCCCTCTATATTTCCTTTCTTTCTACCTAGTGCAGGTAGGCAGTACGTCAGGTACGTCTGTGGCTGCCAACCTAGACAACTTCCTAGAAGGAGCTGTACTCGAGACACAGGTACGTCAATGCAGCAGTAACTCGTGTTCGAACCCTGTGAAGAAGAGGTACTTCTCGACCTTTACAGAGTTGACGCATCAGGTCGATTCTTAGACTCGAGGTACATCGCGAGAGAATATGACACCTGTCAATCATTTATTCGCACTAGCCTCGTGTTGGGCATGAATACCGTGAACGCGAATCTCGGTATCTAGACTCTCTCTCACCGATTTTGGGAACAAAATCTACCTAGCGTTCACGATTCTAGCAATCGTCCGCATCGTCATCTAGGGGTACTTCTAGATAATACCCACGCGCATTAAAAGATTAGAACCTCATCCGATAAATAGCGGCATATCAATGTATTCTAGTTCTCGAAACAAAATCTAGCAAAAACGGTAGAGAAACGTAAAACTCGAAACTAACCTGTAACGCTGAAACTACCCGTCAAACTCGAAGACTCCGAATGAAACTAGCGAAAGATATCTCGTAACTGTTATTTCTAGCTCTGTCTAATATGTTCTACATTTATCTTATTTGTTAAGTTTCCTTTTGTTATATTTTTATTGTTTGTAAAATATACTTTTTTACGAAGATTTAACTACCGCCTTATTAACGACTACACCTCTGCTCTAAAACACTATAAAAATTCGTCCACTAGTAAAAACTGTACAAATTCTAGATGGCGCTCACGTCATCTTAGTAAAATTTATAGAATTTAACGAATTAAGAACCCGGACTCCATCCGACGAACAAATCCTTTGTCAAATAAAAGTCTAATCATTACAACGGTCACTATTTAGAGAAAAGCAGAAATTAAAAGAGATTTTTAAAAAATTGTTAGAATTAGAGCGAATAGAACCGAGCGAGTCCGAATATGTATTAACAATTGTTATGATTAAAAAGGAAAAGGGCAAGTTGCGTCTATGCATTGATTATCGTGTGATAAATAGACATATATTCGAAGATAATTATACTTTGCAATAATTTGAAGATCAGCTCGAAATTTTAAATAATAAGAAATATTTTACTTGTTTAGATTTAAAAGATGCCTTTCATCATGTCTTTATCGCAGAGGAATAAAAAAATGTACATCTTTCGTTACTCCTATAAAACAATTTGAATTCACTTGTATGCCTTTTGGCTTAAAAACAGCACCTTCACGCTTTTAAAGATTTGCTAACGCGGTTTTCAAAGACTTAATTGACTCTGGTGATGTAGTCGTGTATTTAGACGACTTACTTATAGCTGCAATATCGATTGTTTATTGAAATTGTTATAAATTAACAATAATAAATTGTTTAACAAATAAAAATTTTATTGTAATAATAGTAAAATACATTATTTATTCTTAGTAAACAATAATAGTGAAGTTCATTCATGATTGCAACTTTTTTTTACATTATACAAAGAGCAATACTCGTAGTATGTTGTACATTGAGGGTACATGTGTAGACAATAGCTATAAATAAACAATAAAAAATACAAAAAAAAAATTTTTTTTCGTAATGATTTATTACCGTATCCAGAACAGCTATTGAAAATGATAGTAAAATTTATCATTTCAAATTCGAATTATGGATAAATGAATATTTTACAGGATAAATTTTACCCTACCTTACGCTCGCCAGGTTAAAAAGAGCGTAGAATTTAATTTTAAAAAGACAATCTAACGTGTTTAATGCCCTGAAATCAAAATTGTCGAAATATTTGATTCTAGCAATATATGACCATCGAGCTGAAACAAAGTTGCATTGTGATACAAGCTCGCTTGGGTTCAATGCGATATTAATGCAGCGTAAAAAAGTGTAAAGTTTCATCCTACCTTTAATTTTTAAAGAGAGCGATTGAAGTTGAGAGCCATTATCACAGTTTTAAAATCCAAATGTTGGCTATTGCTTACGCCTTACATAGATTTCGAGTTTATCTTTTCGGAATCTCGTTTAAAAAGAAGAAGATTAATATCTAAATTTCCAGGTGGGTTATAGGGCTTCAAAGTTTTGGTTATATTTCAGAGCATAGAGAAAGAAAGCCAATGAATCATGTCGATAGTTTGAGTAAGCGTAGTAAGATTGATATTGTTAATGACAACTCTTTCGAAACAAACTTAGTGGTAGCTAAAAATAAGAATAAGGTGATAGTAGAATTGAAGAAAAAAATCCAGTTCCTTCAAGATAAATATTTTGAACTAAGAAATGGAGATTTGTACCGCAAAAAGAGATAACATTAATACGCTTTTATTTAATGTCCCAGATCTAATACAAAAAAATGTACTTTTTAAGTGTCGTGACAAATTAGGGCACCAGGGGGTATCGAATGTATATAATACATTGCGCAAATGTTATTGATTCTCAGATGTGAAGAATAAAATAATTCAGCATGTTAAAAACTGTTGTAAATGTATTGCGCTTACGCCTTCTTCGGGTAAAATCGACGGTAAAGTCGATTCACACCTATTCCTAAAGGTGACATACCCTTCGAGACAATACGCATATAGATCACGTGGATATATTTAACGAACGGGTTAAATCGAAATAATAATGCTTAATAATAATAATGCTTTAATAAATTCAAAAATTTTACCCGAAAAAAACTATGAAGTCGGCGGAAAGTATATCTAATTAAAAAAACTGTTTTACCAATTAAAGCAATCCTAGAATTGTTATTTCGGATAGAAAAACTTTATTTACTTCACATGAGTGCCAGGAATTTTTTAAGAAGAATTACATACACCATGTAAACGTTGTTACCGGTTCCACGCAAGCTAATAGACAAGTGTAAATTGTACATAAATCATTGAGCCTAGTGTTAGGAATATTAATCGATTATGAAGGGGGTAAAAGTCAATTCAGATGGCAGGGATTTCGAAGTAATACACGCGAGAATTGATAATAATATTGTTAAAATATTGTAAAAAATCAGGAACGATATGCAACGAATGCGGATAAAAAGCGAAAAGATGCGCATGAATATGAAGGTGATTTTGTCATGATTAGAAACTTCAATTCAACTAAAGGAGCGGCTCCTAAAATAATTCCACGATTTAATATATCCTACGTAATTTCAAAAGCTCTACAAATTAACGATTTGTTATAGAAAATATTGAGGAATTTCAAGTTTCCCAAAGAAAATATGAAGGGGTTTGGGAACCAAAAAATATGCGTCTTTGGTGTCTAAATAAATAAACATGTGTAAAGTATAACATGTATGTAATTTTTAAAAATAGTGTGTAAGTCTTATAATGAGAATTTTATTTTGTCTCTTACTTTCATTCTAGTAGTAATAAAACATGACTCTACCCTAGGGCATGACGTAGTCAGGATGGACGAACTGTAATGTAATTGTATAAGTAGTATTCGTATTGGAATGTGATGAATGAGCAGCCGAGGTAACTCGAAATTAGGCGAAAGCCTGCGATTAATGCGGTAAGAAACCAGACGCTTGTCAGCCGTGGATTTTATTAGACGCA